TCATCATGATCAAGAGGTTGCGATGCTCATGAACTATTTAATGGCTATGCTTCAGCATATGCCAGAATATCAGTACGTAAAATTAGAAGTATCACTAATCTCAAACAATGATGGATATTTCCAACTAAAATGTTTAACCAAAAAACATTTTCAAATTTTTGTAAAATTTCCTCCAAATTGGACATTCTGGAAAACATTTTTAGGCTAAAGATGACAAAACACAGGTGATCAGACCTGGAAATATTAAGAAATCTTGAAATTGATTGACAAACTTTTCATTGTGATTAAAGTATGACACAAGATTCAATTCAAACTGATTGGTCAAAACCTGCAGTGCATGCGCCCTGTTGTTTTTTGATCAATCGCCCATTTCAATGCAATTGTAAACTTGCTAAGAACAGTTTAGATCATTTTGCAATTGCACTGCATTTTGAGGTCATAGTCCATGTATATCTACTAATAAAAATTATATAGACACATAGGAAAATTGACTAATTGAAATATCATATACAACCAACCAGTCTCCTTCGAAGCCTARCCTTTTGCCAGAAGGGACAGGATGCCTGACAAAAGTCTAGGCTGCGAAGTAAACTAACAACCTATAATAAGTTATAAAATAAAGAACCCAAAAATGAAAAAAATTGTACTCTATATTCATTTTCTAAGTTTGGATATAATACAAAGTCATATACTTTTATAAAACTAGTCTCAACTAAGATATTGACCTTTTCAAACTAATTTCTTACTAATAATTCATTTGTTCTATTCCTATAAATTTCAGTGAAGTGTGATTCCTGTGAGTCTTTATCAGTAAGTGATGACAGTTTTAATTCTTGGTGTAAGCTTGGCAATCACTCCAAAGGTAAATGCCATTTTACTTCTGGAAATGAATCCAACCACGCAAGTTTTAGATATAGACTATATATGCCAGTTACCTAACAACAATCATCTTTTGTAGCTAAATTCATTGTCTGCAGCAATTAATATTTCCTGAAAAAAGAAGATTTATTGCATTAAAATCAAGTTCAATTCTTAGTCACTGACAATTAAGCAAGTTTTTTCACCTGGATAAAAATGTACAGCCGAGCAAATTAGCTACACACATGATGTCATTTTTCATGGGTTACAAAACACTTCTGCTCGTTTACTATTAAAAAGTACTAAATCTATTACTATATACACATCATTCATCCTCTACATCTAATATGTATTGCTAAATAAGATTTAGTTATCAACTAACTAAGAATGCAACAAAGCATAAACACAATGCCAATTATTTAAATTCTTTTGTAGCATTGTTCTCAATTCTTAGTTAGTTGATAACTAAATCTTATTTAGCACTACATAGTTAAGAATTGTTTCATGCTTATGTGACTTGCACTCTAGTGTTCATAAAAATATTTTGAGCGACTATTTCAAAGTTTGTATAATATCTAATTAAGTCTTCCTTGACGTCATTATCATCAGCATATTATAAGATTAAACCTTCAAAACTCAAAGACGCAACAGTACTGAAATACAGGAATCTCAACAGTTATTTTTTTACTTTATGTAGAATCAGTTCAGGCGTCATAGGCACTTTAAAATTGTGCAACATAAATTATGATAAATTATGTAAATGTAAGGAGCATATGGCACTATGTGATATTTAAAAAACGAGTAGGAGTGTTTTATCGTGAGATATATAAACACGAGGCTGAAGGCCGAGTGTTTATATCCACAATAAAACACGAACTACGAGTTTTTTAAATGACTTCTAAAACCCAAACCTAATAAACTACAATAAACATGAAATAAATAAAAAAATATCAAAAATGAATAATTGATGAAGATATCTCCATCTAAGCATGAGCAGTAATCAACTTGGTTTCCCACATCCAAGCGCCACTATGTTTTAGTGTACTGTGACTCTGCAGATAAGTAATTTTAACTCGAGACCTAGTGAAGTTCTATGATGAGAGTCTAAAACTGAGAACTTTTCTAGTGTTGGGCATACATCGAGTGTCTGTAAATCAGTTACAACACTGATGTTTTATGCGTGAGTGTTATAACTAACTGAACCGGTTAGTTATAAAACTCATGTTTAATTAATCAGTGTTTATAACTTGAGTTATAGATCCTGTCATGTGACCCATAGTTGAATGCTCATTGGAAGAATGTCTAATGAATAATTCATGAGTTTTAGAAGAGATACATGATTACACCTATTTCAAAAAATGTTGTTGTGGCCAGGACACAGTCCACGGTCTTGAGCCTGAAAAGAATATCGGGATTGCCATATAAATTCAATTGTAGTTATTTAAAATACTGCGATTTAGAGTTCTGGTTTGCTTGTTAGACTCAAAACCAAGTTACATATTCTTTTGTTTCATTCATTTGATAGCTCGAGAAAACGCATGGAATTTTAAAAGAGAAACAATAGAATTGATTTGAAATCTCACACTTTTATTCAGCACATTTAGGAATATTTTGCGTATAAATGAGGCTGACACAGAGCATATTAGAGAATTCGAAACTGGATTATTCTCGATCTYGTACCGAATAAAGATTTGAAACTCATTGACGGTTTGAAAGTGTGGAATATTTTTCAAGGAAAATGTCTCAAGGCGAGACATGCCCGCAATAGTATATTAGTAGGGCTTGCCGGCGTTGAATTCAAACCACAATATATTTTGAATATATTAATTACGCATGGAAACCCCAAGATTCTTTGCAGGCTTTTAAAAGACTGTGGACTGTGTCCTGGTGACGACAACGTTTTTTGAAATAGGTGTAGAAATAGAGGAAAGTCATTAGTGCTTGAAGGGAGGCTATTGGTGTACAAATCCGAAGGTCGTGGATTCGAATCCCACCGAGGTCAGAAATTAAATTTTCCAAATTTATTTCCAAAGGGTCTTTCTCCCGCTATAGCCTCCTTCCAAGCACTAAATTATGCTATTCTATTATATCTACCTCTTATCCTATAAACAAATCCAAATATGACGTTCCAGTACGGTTAAGAAGTTGTAAGAGTTTATACTTGTTTGACAATTTTTATACAGGAATCGATCTCAGAGCGTACATTCAATAGTACAGGCGTACAGGAATCGATCTCTGGATTAAAAAAAACTCATGTAATTGGACGTAATCTTGATTTTGAAAAACAATTATAATAACTAGTAATACTAATGATACTGTAGAACACTGTGCAAGTTCAAAAAGTAGTGATTTCGCGTTTAAATTAAAAAAAAATCGTCATCGCCATGCAACAGACCAGTCTATTGGGAAAACTAAGATATTGATATAGAATATGTAATACAAAGAAAATTAAAGTAGCCTACACGATTCAATCTCACTCTGTTAATTTATTACAACTTACCTGGCCTTCATGCAACTAAAACAATAATTGGTAGCTCACAAATTACTTGATAAATTACTTCCACCGACACTTCCACCATATTTATTTTCCTAAGCCGAAATGTAATCGGAGAAGTCCGAACATCTTTTCGTACTTCTATTGTTCTCTCGACCAATCAGGATCGGGATCCATTCCTGTAATTAGCCGCAAGTAAAGAAGGCTAGTAACATAAAACCCCAAGGCGTTCCTCGTCAAGTCCCAGTCCACYTCATTCATACAGAAATCCAACATGGCGGAGTGGCTGTCACATCCTTGGATTGAAAACGCCATAAACTCTTTCTACGACAAGAATGCGACTCTACCGAAGATGGCAAAAGCTCAAATTATCAAGGTAGTTTTTTTTCTGTTATTATTTTTATACAAAGAAAAGTAAAACTGCTAACTCCGAGTATTCTAGTCCTCCCGCCAAATTGACGGCATATTGAAAGTTGTTGTTGTACAATCTTTAAAACACAGTTCAACCGAGCTCAAACATGCGAAGACCGAACTGCTGAAGCTGTTATAAGTGACAAGTGGATGTATTCTAAAGCTCTCTTCACTTGCGGTTCAATAGACAACTTTGAAAGGTGAGCTTTCTATTTATATATAAGTCCCTCCACAGGCAGCCCAATAAAGTGGAACACAAGTACCGGTTATTTTTTCGTTATGTGGTTTAGAGCAGAGAAAAATTGATGATTAAGAAGATATTAGAGCCATGACGCCTGTTATACTTAAGTTTGTTTATTCATTTAAGCATTTTGTTAGCTGAAAGGTATTCCCAGGGGGACTCCCTTATAAAAGTTGGTGGGTATGCTCGATGGACCTTTTAGAGTCAAAAATAAAATACTTTCGTACCTTTTAGGGTCTTGAGCTGATTCTGTACCTTTTAGGGTCAATTTTCGAACAGCTGGTGGGAATTGTAGAAATGTTAATAAAGAAATAGATTTTATTAACCTCGACAGTCTAACTGAAATTTGAAATTGACCAATGACTGGCTCTTATGGTTTGTCTGGTTAGCAAATAAGATCAAGGGTTATTGTTTTAATTCACATTYATAAGCTTAATGTTATTGCATTTTATAATCCCAGGTCAATGGTAAATCAAGATCAACTATCTCTTATGGACATCAAGGGAGGTCTGATATTCTTGAATGACTACGAAATCAAGCCACACGTCAACTACTCCAAGGTTAGTTGCTGTATTACTTTGGACTTCACGAAAACACTTGAAATCCTGCATTGAAATAACATTTTTTCCAGGGAATTTGGGAACATCTTATAATTGTGAAAGACTTCTCCTTCAAAGGTTCTCAAAAAAGCCCACAATTTGGAGGAGATCTCATGAACAGTGCAGCTTATTCTCCATTTCTTGTAAAAATAAAGAGACACTTTAAACTGAGGCAGATTAAACAGTTGTTACAACTAAACCAAGACAGCTCTAAGAACAATAAGTGTATGGATGTAAAAGCTGTAGAATGTTGTGTAGTAAAAAGACATCAGTTTGTGATTGTACCACAAGATCAGGAAAAGTTGCTTGATGCTATTCCAGGTAAACATTTCCATAAAAGTCTGTGATTTCAATATATATATTGTTGTTTTCTGTCTAGAGGTAGTATATCACTATGTTTCTCTATTATAGGTAGTGCGATGCTTCATGTATTGTAAGGCTATGACCAGTATTTTCAATTATCATACGTGATAACATTGAAGGGCTAATTATTCACTAATATTTGAGATGTTTTCATGTAAATTGCAAATCTGCGTGTGCTGGCGTAAGTTATTTCTCAAAGACACATTCCTGAAATAAGTCTTCTTGGTCATAGCTTTGAGATTTGTACTGTAACCATTGGTCATAAAAAATAAATCTCCAGCAAAGCATGCAAGATGGAACATAATTTTAATTGATTCCYAGGATGGAGTGATGCTAGCCATCAAGGTTCCCTTGGTACATCAATGTCTACAAGCATGTCTTTCCCACAGCAAATGTCTTCCCTGAGTGCGAGTGATAGTGAAGCAAGGATCAGTAGAAATGACATCAAAGATCTTGTTGCTCAATGTCAGCAAGTTCCATCATTCACAGACAGTATGCTTGAGTGCGAGCAAGGTAAAACTCAAAATATAATTATCCTGTGCATATCACATCCCATAACGAGATYATTCTAGACTTTCTGCGACACTGAGATGTTGTTTAAGTGTTTTAAAGACTCCTTGGCACCAGTATTACTAAGACTCTGATATGATTTGAGCTAAATTTGCCAAGACTCTTTAAATGCCATGGAACATTTCACACCCCTTCTACTCCTGACCATTGCTGTAATAAGTTCTTCAAAGAACACTTCCATCCATTTATTTTACCATTATCTTTTCTAGAATGTTCTAAAGAATCATCTCCAAAGTCTAATAAAAATGATTCACATCCAAGTATTTCTCAGACCCATTACTCCAATAAGAACATAGAGAATGCAACTAGTTGCAATAACCACCAAACAACCTTTCCACATGAAATGCAAGAATATGTAWCTGATCTAAGCCTCTTGGAACAACTTGAACAGCAGTCATTTAAGAACTATAAGCAAGGCAAACACATYGTTCTTGACATTGTTGATGAAACAAATGATGTGGCTCAAAGAACGCCTGATCAAGGAATGAATGATGTGGCTCAAAGAATACCTGATCAAGGAATGAATGATGTGGCTCAAAGAATACCTGATCGAGGAATGAATGATGCAGTTCAAAGAACACTTGATCAAGGAATGAATGATGTGGTTCAAAGAACACTTGATCAAGGAATGAATGATGTGGTTCAAAGAACACCTGATCAAGGAATGAATGATGCAGTTCAAAGAACATTTGATCAAGAGTTGAATGATATAGATCAAAGAACATTTGATCAAGATAACAACATAACTGCTCCAAATGACTGGGATTCTAAAACAACTGGTGCTCAAATAGTAGAGACTACTGTATTCAATGATGATGATTGTTGTCCAAAAGGGTTCRCTTCTCAACATGTTTTGGGCCATACTGATCATGTCAAGCAGTCAGCAGGTGGATCGCTTGCAACAAACGAATCCAATTCTCATTCAGAAGGTTAGGATCATGAGTGGGGCCAATGGGTGTGTGAAACCTTCACCACTTTCTCCCCATTAATGCCATTTTTTGATCTGTTCTAACTGCAATATTCTCTRGAGCTCCTGAGTATAGCCAGTCTCTACCATCCAAAAACAAGCTCCTATGTATGGCCATTATCAGGCTATGTTCTTTGTCCTTTCTCAATAATATGGTTTGCTCTAGTGTTGCAGAAGTAACGACAATATGTAATGATGATGATGGTGATATTCTGATGGTGGTGAATGTTTCAATGTTGATGATGCCTAGCTTGGGATAATGAAGGGGTCCTTTTGGTCCTCACCAGGAGAGGGGGGAGGGGATACTCCGGCGTAAAAGTATCAGGGATGCTAGTCAAAAATTTTCAATGACCACTAAAAGACCACAGAAGTCTTGAATAAAGGGGTTGGCTGACTAATTTTTAACCCCTCAGAGATTGAACAACAACCATTGTTAGATTAAATCAGTTCCAATGATAAAAACGCAGAGGAAAWTCAACATCGATGCGCTCTTTCTCTTGTTTTCTGACACCCTAACAGATTGCAGAGAGTGCAAATTTCTAYCCACCCCACACAGGGCCTACAATATAGTGACATTTAAACATTTCTTTATTCATTTACAGGTACAAGTAGTWCTTCAGCAGGTCATAAAAGCGACGAATCATATTCAATACTTCACGACGTGTCCATATCAGATCTAGTCCCAGGGGCATTTATTCCAGARTATACAAGTACTGGAAAAGAAAGTGCGACTTCAAACACTTCTGACARACTTACGGRTGACATCATTCCTAAGACTTCAAGTATAAAACGTGTTTCTTTTAGCGAGAGTTTTTTAGCGGACGAAGTGTTGTCAGATTCTGACGATTCAATCGTGCATTGTACGCAGGCTGATGATTTTGAGCCAAGACTTATAAGAGATCCTTTACAGCTTCAAGGCTCAGTACTTCCTTTGAATTCAAAGGACACCAATCTTATGCCAAATAGCAATAACAGGCAATGTAATTGCGCACAGAAAGACATTCAAGAGTATTCTTCCTTAGTAAAGCCTTCAGTTATAAAACAACAAGAAGGTCATTYATACTCAAAGCGATCTTCTGTACTGATGTCTAAAGCCAATTCAAAGGTTGGAGAAGAAGAAAAGTGTATCAAAAAGAGCTCCTCTTGTGTGCGTGCTTCTCTTCCTTCCCAGAACAATRACATTTCCATRCAGACTACAGACACTGGAAGGAAAGTRAGCCTTAARCCAGATGCTGATGATGATATTTACTCATGCACATTTACTCCAGATAAGAAGATCGTCATGAACAACGARGAGAGTCAGGRATCCAATCAGTCGCCTGCAGCTGTGGCATTAGATGACATTATAAGATGCATTGAGGTRTACGAGGAAAACCCAGGAGATGGGAAAGTTTTACTTGTACTTGATGGTAATAAACTAAGCCCTAAAAACAGTAAAACTAGATCTCCTGTTAGCATGGCTACAACTAAAGTGAAAAAGTACAACGATGAAGAGRTGCCGTCTGRCATTCCTGGAAAAGACTCCGTAAATTCCAGATTGCATTCTACMAGTCCAGTACGATGTAAGTCATCATTGAGCACGAAGGAAAAAAATGATAAAGTTTTGACWGTACATGAATGCAAAATAACAGAAAAACATAGTATAAACGGTGAACCGAYATTGCAAAATAAGCAAAGCTSCTTAAATGTTCAAAGAAATAGAAGTAGTAAAACAAGTGCAAAAACTGGCGCACCTTGTCAAAATGTGGACAATAAAGAAAGCTGTTCAAGAAGGACTACCGTAGAACCATTACATACAACAAAAGGTGATTCATCCTTCGATGTTTCTATTTCTGATTCTCTATTAGCGCGGCAGGTATTCACGCAAGATGGTAGAAGTTCAGACAGGTCATTCAGTTTACTTCATAAGTCGAAGTGTAGTGGGGATGGTTTTCCAAATGAACCCACGAACAGAAGAAACTCTCCTAATAACTCGAGGTTACAAACTGAGATTGAGGAATTAGGTCGCCAAGAAGAGTTACCGAGTTTGCGAACGACAAACGCGCGTCCGTCACTAGAAAACACCGAGCAAAATATCTCATCTAACACGTCTTCAATACCAAAAATCAACAAGGGAAATTCTTTGACTAAAACGTCTCCAAGACTAAAGAGTCCTGAAAGAAATATGCAACAGTCAACGCAAAACGAGCAAATTGGAATGAAAAATGAGCCTATGAAAGTTTCCAGTAGGAAGGAATCGCCATCTCTGGGTGTTAATCCTACTAAGAACGTTATCGCAAACTTTGAACGAAAGAACGTTGACAGCAACTCTTTAATAAACACAGGTCCATCTAAATCCTATTACAAATCAAATGCAGTTTCACAAGAGAAAAATGTCGTTGTCCAAACCAATGACGGAAAAGCAATACCAGATTCAAGTACAACAAAACAATTAGCTCGAATAGAAACTTCTGGCTGCTCCTTACGAAAAGATTCAAAGCAAAAAGAAGATCCCAATAAAATTCTGCCTGCTAGTTCTCGAAAGCGTCTGCTAAGATTGTCGGGTGAACAGATAGCAGTTCCAGAGGAAGAGAAGGAAAATTCTCCCGATGATTTGCGCGACAGCTGCGACAAAAGTCCCACTGATAAACATTGCTCCATAGATGTAGGTCAATTTTATCCAAAATCGTCTCCGTGGAACCACAGGAAAAGAAGAGGAAGCGTTGTAAATTCCTTCCTGGTACCCAACCAAGTTGTGACTTNTTGCTGCTGATGTTGTTATATTACTGCTGTTGATCATGATGATGACGATTATGCTGTCTGCTGAATRATTCATACTCTATATCAAAGATACTAACTGCTGTCAAGCTAAATATACTATTTTTATTATTGTTATTTTCAGGACATTAATCCCAATTCCYCTGCAAGTCCTGTTTTAATCCCCAGTCCCCGTAGTCCATCAAGTGAGAAGCAAAACAAACAAGAACATCATTGGTCCAATTCACGTCATGACGAGGAGACTGTTTCACCTGTAGGATCTTTAAGGGTAAGTTGTCTTATTACCTACAATTTGTTGTGAACCRRAGTAARCRTAAGCATAATCAGAAACATAAGAAGTTGAAAACATTTTCATAAACAAGTAATAGTTTTAGCAACGTGTTTAATTGAAGTGCATCATTTTCTCAACCTCGTTCCCTGATCCTGACTCCCAAACAACTGTAAGAAGAGCTGGGCTTGTCATTTTGTATTTACTTTATGGCTTATTTCAGGAATCTCTGAAGTCTTGCTCGATGGACTCAAGARGGTCTGAGGAACCGTGTATATCATTAACATTACCGTCCTACCAGGCAAGTAACGTCTACCAGTGCTGATTTGCACAGCTCAATTTGTTTTGCTACGCGCGGCCCGGCGTGATTCAGTCATTCAATATTTGCTGATGTGACTTCGCTGAACTTAAGGCTGTTGTTGCTGTGAAGTGGCTACAGCTTAACCTGGCATTTTTTGTACTGTATGTTATGTAGTAGCAGTATTTCTCTTGCAAAAGCTAGGTAAAGGAGCTGATTGTGACGAACTTTGTAGACGGAAGTATTTTTGATGACTTTTTCTACTAATAGGTCCCAAAAAGTAGCAACAATAAAAAACTGGCAACAAAGAGCAAGACAAGTAAACAAAAAGTTCATATTATGGCGTTCGACTCCGACGATGAGCAGGATGGATTCTGTTGGTTTACAACGAAATCATGGGATGGACGGTAGGATAGAGTAGTCTGGGTTCGAGATAACACCTGATGGACGGTAGGATAGAGTAGTCTGGGTTCGAGGTAACGTCTGGTTGAGGTTAAAGACTGTTGAGTTTTGTCAACTTGGTAGCTTGTTCAAATTCATCAATGATTGATTAATGTAATAATTAAGAAAAATTACAGCACTTATCAAGCATTCTGAATAGAATTAACAGCTCTAAGGAAGGGGAWGGGMAGTTCTAGGGGAGAGGGAGGCCAAAAATTGGGATGGGTTGCTCCCTCCCTACAGSCGCCAGGYAAGCTAAGTAATTATCCATGATCTTGAAAAAATTCATACTCGTGTTTGTATAATCAAAATAACAAGCGAACTCGGCTTCGCCTCTCGCTTTTTTGGTACACGAATAGACACTCGTGCTCGTGTTAGATCTATTATATCAAACCGTGAACTGCTAAATGACAGTTATGTACGGAATTTCAAAAAGTGATATTAGAATAATTATTATAGTTGTCATTAATTATGATCACATAAAATCTATTTTATAAAGTAATTTATTTGTGTAAAAYATTTTAAAATTCAATTTTTATTGATTAAACATGTAAATATGTTTGTTTCAGTCATGATAGTTTTTGTTTCTCTTTGTTACAGTAACACTTTTGTGTGTTTATCTCATTTGCATCGATATTTAAATGTGTCTGTTTTATTTTATTTATAGCTGGTCTAATTCTAAATTAAAGCAAAACTAAATTGACTAAATTGTTTACTAAACTAAACTTCAACTAAACTTAACTAATCTAGTGCCATATAAGCTCAACTAAGCGAAGATCTAAATTGTGCTAGCTCTAATCTAAATTTAAAATTAAACTAAGACCAATCTAAAACTAGATGACAKCAAAACCTAAACCCATAAAATACATTAAAGAACAGGCGTTTTCGACAAGTCAAATTTTTATTCAATAATAATACATAAAGCACATATTGTTTACAAGAAATGATTGTGTACGTTGGTACACTCGTCTGTTTCTAGAAAGATACAGTGATCGATGAAACGGTATAATGTAACGAAGGTACTCGTTTTGAGAGTTAYTGGTAGTTATAGAGCATTGTCGACGCGCGCATATGGTACGCAACTCTAGCTTAACGGAAAGTTGCCATACTATTGTATTAACTCACTTAGGAGAACATTTACGACTTCTCGCGGCGATTGATATTTGAAAAGTCCAATTGTCAAAAAAGGGACCTATTCTTTAAGTTGAATGTATAGTCATAAGTGAAGAAATTTTGTCTTTTTGTTGGTGATAAGGTCCTCARCGTTAAATCTGGACAGYGGGTTGACTGAACCTCGATCTGTGAGACGTGAGCCACTTTGTTWAACTGATTTTTTCGGGAATTTTTCTCTTTTGCCCAGTAATTAGGATGGAAATACAYAATGTTGATATTTGGCATGACTWTTCATCWCAATCTGCTACGTTCAAACCGTTAAATTTGTCGCTGTGAAGTTTATCAATGGAAAATATCGTAACTATCTATCTAGATATCTTATAAATTTCTTAAAATTGAAACAGTGTTGACTAGAAATGAAAGGGCGCCCGCCCTGTGAAGCCTTTTTGCGTCAGGACAACTTCACTTCCGTTTCTATCACGTGACTCGTCGTTGACGTCATGAAGCCATGGCAACATTTTTTTTGGAAATTGAATAAGATACACTGCTAATACATGGAATTATACTGAAACAGTTTAACACGTTATAGTTTATGAATTGAAATAGAATGAAAAGTAATTTGACAGGCAAACTATTTGCAGCCGAATAGCATTTGTAACTCGCTTTTGGACAGTTTTCCATCTTTGTTTTCATCGAACATTTGAAGTATTTGTTCTTTGAAACTTTGCAGTTGATCTTGTGGGGTTTCCTGTTAGAAAAACAGATTTATATGTATTTAGGTGAAGCTATGTATTTAGATTAACAATGTTTTTGAATGAAAATTATCGATTTACCGATACGCCCTGTGATCTGAGTACATCATTCAAGAGAGCTGTGATCTCATCACCTTCAATCTCACCACTGGCGTCCTAAATAGAACAAGATGCAATCAAAAATAACTTATCCAATCCCGCGCACAGTAGATTATGTCCCTGCTGAGRACGAGATTTGAGTGACTTGTGATATTAGTCTATTGCGCATGTGCAATGAAGGTTGACAAAACTTGTTGAAAAATACCATGTATTTATCACTTGAAGTTAGCAAAACTATTATTGATCTCATGTGTCCTGGTATTGTCTAAAAGGAATTGTCCAGACAGTGTTACCTGGTCGTAGTGTCGGAACATTTTTTCAAACTCTTCTTTCGTTAAGGAGTCTCCGCATTGGAATTGTGCCAGAAAGTTATCYTCGACTGGAATTTGTCTGTGAATATATTAAAATAAAGAATATAGGACTTTTGTTTTGGTATATTGGCTTTCAAAATGTGCATGGTTTAGAATGCGGTAACCSTATTTTAATGGTTATGAACTAAAAGGAAAATCTGTCTGTCATTAAAAAAACACGGGTGATRCTTACCTCGAAAGTTCATTAAGTTGAATTTTGCCGTCTTTATTTGAATCGTACAAGTCAAACTGTAAAGAAAAAAGTAGTAATCAGAGTAAAAACTCTTCCTTGTTTTTTTTTGTTTGTCCGTTTGATTTCGTTAGTATCTTTCTTCTTCGCATTTTTCTTGATAACTTAAATTTTCTGGGTTTCCTGTGGTAGTTGTAGTGGTACTAGTGCTCAGTCTCCTCTGCGTATTTAACTTAACACATGACAGTGTACTTACTATTGCATCAACCAAGTCTTTTACTTGTCTAGCATCRATAGGCCTTCCTTCTCCGGTTGCTAGTTTAAGCTCGAAAATCAAGCCCTTTAAAATAGAATAACAAGCAAGATCATTTTAAATGGATTGAAATCTCCGAAGCATTTCGTGATGTTTAGGACTTCTAGTCRTCCAAAACAATAGCCTACCCTAGATATTTTGGTTCAGTGAMCATRCACAGAAGAATTGCAAACGAGGCTCCGRGGAAATAAARGAATAAATYAAGATTATCCATTGTTTCCCGGAGCCTCGTGTACGTTCTTTTGTACATAGTAATTGAACCAAAATATCTGAAGTTGACTATTCACATCGTCTCCATCCAAATATATTCAAAAGCTTCTTATTTACTATTGCGCATGCTCTAACTCTTATTCTAAACTTCTTTCTGMATCCCACATGGCTCAAAATTTACCCAATACGCATGCTCAAAGATATTTCCTGGGCATATCTCAGAAGGCCCTTATCTCCATTAATATACTGTGACATATTTACTAAGCCCATCCCACTTGCGCTTTTATTTGCCCATTAGATACGCTCTTACTGTCTTGAGTGTTTCCTGGGCATTATTCTCATGGCTAGTGATTACCGGTATTACGCATGCGCATACATGTGACCTGAGGCTATCCTTATAGCCTCCTTGATAATGCATCACTACGCATGCGTGGCACGATAAACCAACTAAACTCTACCTCTAATTCAGCGCGGTCGAGATAGCCATTCTTGTCAACGTCGTAGTGGTTCCAAATCTGTTATAAAACAAGGAATTAGAGATTTCATTCAGCTCATATGATATGTTGCGACTTACAAGTCTAATATTTGTTGCAAYGAACGAAAGAACAAAGGATAGAAAGGAAAACGAATGAAAGAGTGAAATAATAAGATGAATTTAGGATAAGATAATACCTTAATGAAATCCACACTTGTCAGCGGTTGATTCAGGTTGTACTGCGCCAGTAGACATTCTTCAACGTCTAAAATTTTTCGAAGCTTACGGAAATAAAAACATTTGTAATTTGAAGTATTGTAAATAGGACTAAAATGCKTATAAAGTGAGTGAAAAGTCACCGTTTGAGCATATCCCGAAATCCTATATTTCTAATATCTTCCAATATCTCCTTATATCTACTAATGTTTTCTAATATCTTTCTATCAAAACATATCTTTACTGTAAGAACACACAACAAGAGTTWAATCGAAGTCTTTTACCTCGTCCATTGTAAATTTTCCATCACAATTCTCGTCATATTGGGACATTACATCTTTTTTGAATGTGTCTATTTCTGCCTTGGATAAGTCCTGAAAAGAAAGTATGATGTAAAATGCTGAAAAACGTATGATAGCAAAGAGATACATTTAAAATATTAGTAATAATATTGTAACCATTTCACCTATAGTGAGAATCAAGACTTCAAAGGCAAGTCTACGTTTTTTTCTATTTTACGGTTCTAGTGACTTCGGTATTAGAACGAAGAGACTTTTATGTATAACGCTCAATTTCGATTGCTTTCTTTAAAGAGTTAGAATATTTGTTTAAAAATTTCTTTAGCTTTTTCTTGTTTCYAACACTATACAARATATAACATGCTGAACGCAATTGTAAAAGTCGCCGCAAGGTATTATAGCCTTCAGTTAACTGCACTTCTAACTCTATTGAGTTAGCTGTAGTTACTCCACAGGGCGTAATTGCTATGCATGCAAACAACTATTTCTTGAACGCATTTAATTGAATATWTTGTTAAAAGAAGCCGTTTGCTYGAATAGACAGGAAATTCCTTTGTTAATTTTAATGAAGTTTGTGTTATGAATTTCTCGATGGCTTGTAAGTTAGCTTTCTTTTTGTATTCAAAAGCTTTCACTAACAGGTACAATAGTGGTGATAATGATACTAGCGATAATGGACATAAACTGTTCGTGCTTTTCATGTCGGCTTGCGAGATTCTGTTATTATGGTCAATCATGGTGATGATACGAGTGATAATTAATGCTACTTGACAATCATTATTGCTATTAGTATAATGGAARTTTTCATTGTTTTTACCATGCAATCGTGAAATTTTCCTATTACAGTTAATGTTAATAATAGTGGAAATAGTTCTCGTTCATCGTCGTAATCTATGTTATTCAATAGTATTTCCCATTTTGTGCAAAATGTTTAGCTATATAAAACTAGTCGAGTTTTCAGCTGTTTTTTTCAAATATCAACAAAATCCTTCATGCTTAATTTAGCCGAAACAGGCAAATTTATCCTTTATTCCTAAATATAAGCGAAAATGAGCTTGTTTTAACCATGAAACATTTCGCTTATTTTATCGAGAGCGCGCGCGCGTCGTCAAAAAATCTGATTTCCCGCCATTTTTACATCTTTCCAAGAGACAGATCTCTTTCGGCTATGTTTGTGCATAGAGCACTTTTGATAAATGTAAAACTTGACAATTGCCATTGGCATATCGTAATATTTAATAAACATGATAGGTTTTTCTCTTTCGCGCTGTCGGATGTGTGGGCGTCATGCACATTTGGCTGATCTACAGCTAGTATAAAATGGGGCGTAGAGTCTCAAATAACTGTAGAGGTTTGGAGTTTATCATTTTCATCTTGTTTTGTACAATGATATGTAAATGATTTGACAAGTTAAGATTTAATTTACAAAGCCAAATGTCATAAATCCTAATGAATTATATATATATCTCGCTTGGCAACTTTTCTTCTTTTGAAAGATGAAGACTAATGTTGTTACAGCGTTGTGGGAGAGCTTCAGAAATTTATATAGAGAGCTTGTATTTTGTCAATACTTTTGCTAATTTTCTTAAATGTTGATTATTTGCTCAATATTTTGAGCAGTGAGTGTTATTGTGGGAAAAGCTTGAGCTTTGGCATCTTMAAACACTGATTTATTTTGTTGATAGGTCGCCACTATCGATCTTTCATCTGTCGGCGTACTGCAAACATTTTTTTTCATAAAATAATACTCGCTCCATAGTTTAATGTGTTTAAATATCGATGAATTGCTTATTAGTTTCAAGTTGTTGCGGTTGGAGAGATATTTATTTTGGGGGTAATGCATGGGCGATCTTTGATAATAAAGTAAAAATTGAGAAAATCCTCACTTTTGGAAACAGCATGTTTCAATATCGATGCGTGAATTCATATATAATTTGCTGTTTATTTGATGTTATGGCTGGGAAAGCATTTTAAGGTTTTGAGGGATATTTATCTTACAAAAACCTAAAACTAGTGAGAACATAATGAAGATTAAATTTCTTCTGTCAATAGAAAAACGCTTTTASAAACAACATGTTTGAATATCGATACACATCTAATTTGCTTATTATATTTTCTGTTATTATGTTTTGAAAAACTTGTTTTCGAGATGGTAGCCGCGATCTTTGAAGCKAAAGGAAATGGAGGGAACTCGTTGTGAAAATAACATCCTATATTCAGGCATTAAAGCACCTTTGGGAATAAGAATAACAAGGAAGTGTTAAATCATTTGACAAAAGCTCTGCATTCGTGTGTTTTTCCTAGGCAATTATAGTTTGTCTTCGTTAAAAATTCATGTGGGGAAGTTCAACTTTGCCTTACATCTCACGGCTATTCAATATAAACWGTTATGAAGAMATCAAAAASCAATGACCTGAGAATATTTCGCGACTAGTGGAAATCCTCTTTTTCAGGCGCTCTGTCACTATTATGTTTCCTAAATTTCTTGCTTTGGTTATTTTGAATTTAATATTAATGAACATAACGCCGGAACTAAAAAAATAAAAATAGGAAAATATTTAACCAACAATTAGAAATTCTTTTCGATCTACCGTTAGAWATACAATTGATATTTTCTTATATTGCGGGCCTTAATAGTTTTACATGTACTGTGAGATATATTAAGTTGAAAAGTGATACTTTGGACTTAGTAAGTTTATATGTCAACAACCCGTGATCTCCTGTATGTTTTGGATTTATAATCTCAATTTATGTAGTMAAATATACAATTTATATATTTATTTTACCTAAACCATGTTATATATATTGGCAAACATCTATTACACTATCTGTCTGTTTGGATGTTGGATTATCAACTCAACTTCTTCAGTWTAAAATGTGTCATTCCTTAACGTGAATTCCCATTTCCTGGTAGTACAATTTTATGAAACATTCAATGTCTCTTGAAAAGAAGCCAAAAGTATTAGKTTTTTTTCAAATGCATTAGATTTCCCACTGCAATTTAAAACTCAAAACCACTCAAGTGGAGTCCTTAGTCTCAAGAAGTTTGTATTTTTTAGTATCATTTGACTGACGGCTGTCTTGGCATATGTTACCGAGTTTTATTTGCTTATAACGTTGAAGGATTTCCCAAGAAAATTCGATTAAGCTAGAGGTTGCTCACGGGAGCTTTGGAGTTTAGTGCGGGTAGTTTAACAGTGTGYCTTTTTGCTCGTAAAAACTCTCTTCATTATTTCAGATATGCAAGATTTTATTATCTCTTACCTTTCCATGCTTTTCTTTAAATAAGACTTTCAAGAACGCGTCAACTTCTTCTTTTTCGATGTACCCATTGCCTGGAATAGAGAAGGAGATAGAAAAAGAGTTTAAATGACTAGGAAATCATGCCGTTTGAGTGTACGTAATGCTCTGAAATACAAGAGCACTAGCAGCSYCATTATCTGTTCTAAGCCGGCAGTTTTTATCTTACCATCAGCGTCGAATTTGTTGAAGATTTTCACAAAGTCACGGGAATTAATTTTGCCCTTGAAAGCCATGTTGCTCGCTGATCGATCGTAAGGTTCTGTTCTTTCGAATCGTCTTGATCCTGTGTTTATTATTATGAATGAACTTAACGCATGCGCGCTGCGACCACGATATGTTAATCATCTCAACAGGTGCACAAGTAGCAACGATCAAGTAACAGCCTTCAACACCGGCTTATTGAAATATTCACTACAGATTCAGGGATGTTTTTTCATTGTCGTAATCACTGTTATCAGTATTTTTATTGTCCGAAATTTAATCTCCACTTTAAAAGAAAAAAAGAAAAAAAAAAAAAGAAAAGAAAATAGCCTCGTGGGCATTTTGCAGTTTTGAAAAAAGTTTCACCAACGTTTAAAACTCAAAAGATTTTACTCTTAATAATGAAAAAACACACGCAAATGCAAATATCTTTTCATTTGTTTGATTATGGAAATTTTGKCAGTTGTCTGGCAAAGTTTTTATTGCTTGGTAACTGTGTTTACGCAGRAAAGAGTTGCACAATAGATTTATAAAGTCGTTCGTTACCATGATGAAAAAAAATATATATATTTCTACGCAAAATGGTGTTCCTAGTAAAGATATTCCACATCTAACAGCTTGAGTAAAGATCTTCATAAATAAAAAATGACAAATGTGACTTCAAAAATTATTTTTGGCTGTGCACCTGCCTTGCACAATCGGTCTAATTTTCGACGGCAAATGTTTTCCTTTTTAGTTGTCCTGGWGCTTGTTCTCATTGTAAAGCACGCAAGATGACTCGGGAGRACTCCAAGTACAYARCCAAACCATCTGGAATACGAATGGTGTTAAACATTTCTACTATCTGATTGTGTTTCGTGTTTTGTCTATAAATTTTTAACGGTTCTGAATTACAGCAGATTCTAATCAAATTCTGTGCCTTTTTCACGAGAACTTAGCTATAAGTCGAAGCCACAACATGAAAAACACAAGATAAGTAAAAAGATCTTTCTTTTCGCCATTTTGAGCCATTTTTGCTTCGATAACACTTAGATTTACATAACCTATTAGATGTAATTTCCCCAAATGTACACAATGGCCCTCCAAGACGAAACTGTCAATCTTACATTGAGCCTTTTCGCCCTAGGTGCTTATTATCAACTTGTCAATGACTGCTAAAACTGTTACTTGGTAATTTTGAAACTATATACTATTTTCGTTTTATTCTCGATTATTCGTAATCAACGGTGGGAGCTCGTGGTCTTGTGTGCCTGTTGTGGTTAATACCAAATAGTCTCCGAAAAACAGGATTATACACTTATTTAGAAAACCCAAAAACCTGCAGTCTCAATATTGTATGACTTTATTCAAAATTCAACCCAAAATTCAATGGTTTTTGATGTTTGTCCTCTTCTAAATAATTCCCTTAATTTTGCGACTGGTCTTTCGGTGTTTGTGGCTGTCACATCGCTATTTCTTTTTTGCCCAATCTTATTAACTTGGAATTCATTTTTAATACGTTAACTYCAATTTGTGTGGCCAAAAAATAATTGAGTTTAGATTTTAAGCACGAATGTGTGTTTTCTGTATGCTTTTGTAAAGAAATTATTTTCCGCGCTCTTTCTATGCATCTTTCCCTCTTTTCCTTTCAATTTTTCTTCTATTTCTTTACATGGAACACAGGCTTCTCATATAGATAAGTGGGATTTTATCTGTTTCAGTCCTCAAAACGTATCCAAAATATAAAAAACCTTGAACTTGACAAAGTAATAATCACAARAAACGATATAAATTCCCCCCAAAAAAGGGAACAGGATTAAAATTGTAGTTTTGGGCGTCAGAGTTTCATGTGCATTTCGCCGTTGACGTTATACGACACTTATCAATATGGATTGTATATCGTTGTTTTTATTTTTTGTTATCACTTATACTTCGAGCAGTAACCGCAAAGACTTAAATTGTACTCGCTTGATAAAAACCTCTGTTGATATACACAGGTAACCCAGACAACTCATGTAGCCACACATGTATGGCTTTTCAACCTTGCCAAAGTTTGAAGTTTTGTTTCTTAATTTTTCCTTCACTTTGACAACTCAAGGCTCTTTGTCTTATGCAGAGAGGTTTTCTAATGTCAGATCCTTAAATATTCCTAAAGAAGCTCAGTCTCTTAAACGTTTTCTCTGAGGCGTTTCATAAGGACTTTGACCAAACATATCTTTGAACTCTCTCCACTTGTTATTAAGCGAGGTGTTTGTCTGGTCCAGCCTTAAATCGCACAGAAAAGTATTTCCTTTCGTGAAGATGAGGAAAACACTATGTCTTCGAACCTCAAACCGATATCCATTTGCACAGGAAAAGAAGATGAATTCTAATTTCCAGTTCAATTAGATGCAGCAMATAAGAAATGTCTGACTCCTGTCCTTCCTCTGCGAGAAAATACAAGGAAATATCGCGGTGTTCTTTAATGACGGGCTCGTCTATACTGTTTTAAGTCTGTTTTTGTACCGCTTTCAACAATCGAAAAACATGCAACACAAAAACTACCCTTCATTTTGCATGCCAGTTGATGAAAAAAAACAAGGTTTTTAGTGAGGTTTGGATAATTGTCACTATTGGCAACGTTTCTTTCATTAAAATAAATGAGTAATGAGACTTTTTTCCAAGGCAAATTTATTGTCAAACTTTGAGAATGTATTCAAATCGTGTTYTTGAATGAAAATAACATTGACAACAATTTAAAATTGATAATTTATAGCAGCAAACTATTAATAATGCAGTACAGTGAGAAATATTATTTCAGTCTCTGCGCATGCTCGACTACCTATGCTGTACGGAGTCAATTTGTGACCAGATCACGTGATAATCAGATCTATCCTAAATATGVAAGTCGAGTGAATGCGACTGACTGGCAACAGTAAAAATACAATATCTTTGTTTCTTATCATTCGTACAGAATAGATTTTCATTCACTCTGTTCTGAAAACCGATTCATTGTTAGTGCTTCTCGACGATAGGAGATAAGATCACGTGACCAGATCGTCTTGTTGACAAACCAACCCTTKTACATCGATGATCAGCAAGCCGCAGTTCATTTCACATAAATGTCTGAATATTTTGSTCACAATTGAGTCCTAGACTCCCATAATCTGATTTGATATGTATCCTGAAGATATGGATGGTTTCAGTGCAATTAAAACTGATACTAATAATTATCAAGATAATATCAAWATAAATTAACAATATAATGATAACTAATAATCGTTTTCTCGATAAGAATAAAGATAACTTTAATAATAAGAATTTTTTGTTAAGTCTTCATTGACGACCGTCGTTTATGAGAGCCCGCAATCCATGAGAATTGATAGACAAACCAGCGGCTTTTCCCAGTAGCAAATTTATTCTTTAATTTTCAGGAACTCTTTCAGTTCGGATTTCTGGACTTTGTTGTCCTTGTTTTTGTCGAGTTTGAGAAGCACAACGTCTTTGATGTCATCGACAGCCTGAAGAAAAAAGTGTTCGATTGTTTACTCGTAAAATCTACTTGTACTGCCAGATCATGTCTGATCTGGGTATATGAGAACATCCCCGAGCTGTTTTTTTTTCTTCTTAAACTCGGCTGCGCCTCCTTTTTCAGCTCATTTCTGTGCGTTTTGAATACAGTGATCAATACTCGTAATAATATGCTTACCGATTCATCGGAGTCTAGGTAGAGATCAGACAGTAGTTTCACCAATTCGTCTCCCTCGATGGCTCCACTGTTGTCCTGTCATCMGAAAATAAAAATATTTGAATTGTCTTTTTCAATTCTAATTCTTTTCTTAGTTATTTTCAATACTAACCTTGTCATACTCTGAGAATAATTTGTCAAACTCTGGGCCCGATTTCCCCTGTGTAGGTAAAAACAAAATATAAAAAAWAATTCTGTCGAGTTGTTATTCATTATAGAGTAGAACGAAGGTTGTTCATGACGCCACTAACCTCAAAACTGGCGCAGGAAGCCTCGACTTGAAGCAAGCTGAAAGCAATATGAAAGAATACAATACAAAATGTGTAAAAAAATTCTCGATCCAGCAATTTTGAAAGTTTGGAGAGGGTACATCTATTAATTGTTTTGTTTGTGTGAAATGCAGGTCATACGAATGTGTTTTTCTATATGTGTTTAAGCAGGACTTTCACAAAAAGGAGGACACCCCTCTCCCCCTCGGATCCGCCCCTGTTCCCAACATTGATCATTGATGGGTTCTTTGTYATCCATAGAAAGGTATTTCCGTGTAATTCATAACTTTTACTTACTCAAACAGTTCAGCTTTGTCGAGTCCCTCAGTCGATTTATTTGTTTTCTTGTCATACTAAATAAATAAAATTAAAAATGAATAAATATTTAACAAAATAAATCAAGAGCCAGGATTATTATATAGAAATTAACTCAAAAGTAGATAAAAAATATAAAATTTAAAGAAACCGAATTATTTCCGTAAAAAAAAAAAAACAAATCAAGATAAGTAAAAAGAAGATAAATTTATAATGATAAATAATACAAATGGTAGGAAAACTCTACTTACCTTCATATCACATATGTGTAATATTCTAATAATATTCTAATTAAGTTAAAACTCACCAGTGATTTTTTGATGATTTCAATAGATCTTTTAAGATTACAATCATGTCGTGTTTGAGGCCGGGTCTTTAAGATGAGATCTTTGAGGAATCCCTACGTATAAGAGAGTATAGTCAGTCATCGGTTATGG